CCCCTCCCCCCCTCCTTAAATAATCAAATTAGTCATAAAGGTTAGAGCTCTGTTTGGGGATCTAGTTTTTTCCAGAACACGAATCGCAACCTTATCAGCATGTCTCAGCTCAATGCGAAGTTCTTCTTCTAAAACTCTTACATATTTTCCAGCCGCACACTTCAAGCCTCGGAAAGATCCAAGAAATGCTGAATATAACAGACAATTTATGCGTAAGTTTTTTTTTTTTTTAATCCTTTTTTCTCTCATGGTTGTATGCGTGTTCCTTGTTTGATCCCAAAAGTTGCCCCTGGAATTCATTGCAGATCATCTGGCGTTTCATAGACCGGATTACTCAATGTACAATCTCTCGCCTCTCAGATCAAAAGTGGTACGATTAAAGACGCTTCTGGTAACTAAACACAAAATATAGGAATCGAGAAAGATCTTTTTTTTAACCACAAAATATAGGAATTGAGAAAGATCTTTTTCATATTTACACGAGGCGTAGACCAAAGAAAAGATTCTGAGTCCCCATGAGGAATCGAACTCCAGATATTCGGATTCATGCTCGTAAATGCTCGTAGATGCTCGTAGATGCTCGTAGATGCTCGTAAATGCTCGTAGATGCTCGTAGATGCTCGTAGATGCTCGTAGATGCTCGTATATTGCAATTCTGAATGTCCTTGGACACGAGCTTGAACAAAGGGCGGTTTACAATTTTAATTTTGTTTCAAGTCTTTGATAAACGCGAAGCTGAAATAATTGAAATTATCTATTCCCTCGTCAACTGGCTACATTTGGGAAAATGATTTAAATCTTTTTCTTGATGTTGTTGAGCACCAACACTCTTCTTCAAAAAACTATAAAGGTTACGAGGAATTCTTTTAGTGGCTTACTTGACTATAAATTTTTATTTTGCGATAGTTATTTCACTCGCCTAGCAAAAATCAATGAGGCATGGTATGCACATAAAACTAAAAGTGCTCCGTCGTGGAACAATGGATGTGGAACTCATCTAAAGGCTTAGTTACTGCAGGAACAGTTCATATCATATGGTTACAATCTGAGATTGGTTCCTTGTGTGCAGTATCAGTAATTACTTATTATCGTTACACCGCAAAAGCTTGATAAGGTAGTTATCACTCATATTCGCGTAGGTAATACCAACATTCACCCTGTGCCTATTGCTAGGAACCTTTGCTCGTGGTTTGATGCCAATATGTCTATGTCGGATCATATTTTAAAAACTTGTGAATCATCCTTCTACTATTCGTATAACATACGTCGGATCCGGAAGTATCTCTCCAAGCAGTCAACAGAGTCACTTATTCATGCTTTCATATCTAGTCGTCTTGACTATTGTAACAGTTTATTGTATGGTCTGCCAAACTGCTCATCAATCAAATTACAACGTGTGCAGAATGCCTGTGCTAGACTGATATTTGCTTAGTGTAGTTATTGTCACATAACACCTCTTCTAATCAAGTTGCATTGGTTGCCGATTCGGTCTAGAATTGTATTCAAGATTCTTCTGTTAACTTTCAAGATCTTGCATGGCACAGCTTCCACATACTTGGATTCATTGATTTCTCTTAAGTCTCAGTCACGCTATAACCTGAGAAGCTCTTGTAACACCCTCTTGCTTAAGCAACCCGGATTCAAATCAAAAGTGACACTTGGTGACAGGTCGTTTACTTGTGCTGCACCTAAACTCTAGAATACATTACCATTCGAAGTTAGAAACTCTAAGTCATTGGATATTTTTACGTCAAAGTTAAAAACACACCTCTTTCGTTTAGCATTTTTATCTTAGCCTGAATACGATATTATAGCAGTATTAGCATAACATTAGTATTTGTATGTAGTTCGAGTATCTATTTTATTTTACCTTATTTTAATAGTTGTATTAATTATTACTGTGTTATTTTGTTGTGAAGCGCAATTCAACATTGTATGGAATTTGCGCTATACAAATTATTATTATTATTACTGGGCAGTCCGTTGGAGATGCTTGCAACGTCAAAGCTCAAGTTTTCACGGAACTCAATAATTTCTCCGAAGTACTACCAAAAACATGGTTCAGCCAAATGCATCTCTGTTGAGAATTAGTTATGTAGGTAGATTTAAGAAGAAAAGATCTAAAAATTTAATGACAGCTTGATCTCCAACGGAACTTGTGGGACTTTATTTTTTTTCCTCTAGGTTTCCCGCGTAAGCCAGAGAAAGATGATCACGGGGATGAAGAGGATGGAGTGGTAGAAGACATCGAGGAACAATTTGGTAAGTCTACTAACAAAGAGAGAAAGCCTAGGGCGATAGCGGGCGTGCGTACGCCTATGGGATCCTCATGGCTGCAAAGCTGTAAACCGAAAGGTGACCAAAAGATCGCATGAATTGCCCACGCGCCACCCTCGACTAGGCTATATTTCATCCCAAGAGAGGGTAACTAGTTGTGTATTGTAAGCACCAAGGACTACACAGATCACAGGATAAAGTTACTTACTCCTGCATTTTTTCGCCAAACTTTGGCAGGAAGTAAGTTATTAACACTTTCTTTGCTTGTAGTTGGTACGGCTGTTTCTGATCATCTTTCTTTTTTTCATTTTTAATTTTTGGTTTGGTTGTCAATTTGAATTTTCTTTTTCTTCTTAGACAAACCCATAAAAGATCTAAAAAACTCAAGGGAATCTACTAAGCAGTATTTAAAAACTTCTGACAAAGGTAAGTGGAGCATTGAGCAAGACATTCATGTTCGTATACATTCCAAAACTTGCCTCTGGAATTAATTGCTGATCATCTGACGTTTCATAGAACGGAATGCTAGGTTAGAAAAGCTGTAACCATGATATACACTCGTAAATAACACTCCATTACGATGCACAAACTCTCGCCTCTCAGTTAAAAAATTGATGCAATCGAAGACGCTTTTAACCTACCCACACAAAAAAGAAATGAAGAAAGATGTTTTTCATCTTTTCACGGCCGTCAGACAATGAAAAAGTCCTGATGAGCAATCGAACTCCAGAACTTTGGATTCATACTCGTATATGCTCGTGCAGTGAAATTCTTATTGTTCTTAAACACGAGCTTGAATACAGTGCACTTTGCAATTTTAATTTTGTTTCAAGTCTTTGATTAGCGTGGAGCTGAAATTATTGAAATCATCCATTATCTCTTCAACTGGCTACATTTGAGAAAATGATTTGAATCCTTTTTTTTTAACCGAGCACCAACACTCTCCTTTAAATAAATACAAAGGTTAGGAGGAATTTTTTTAGCCCCTTACTTGCCTATAAAGTTTTATTTTGAGACGGTTATTTCACTCGTTTACCAAAAAGCAATGAGGCATGATATCCGTTTAAAAGTAAAAGTAATAGTGCTATGTTGGGAACAACCTCCCGCCTCATATTGGTGACAAGATATCTTTTGTTTTTCATTTGTTGAGAATTCATGAGTCTTCTAATAGCAAAAGAATTGTTTGTAACTCTGTCTGCAAGTCTTGTATCATTGTGGAAACTGAGGTAATTGAATTTTTAATTTGTCTCTGGTTTGTGCAGATCCGAGAAAGGAAGAATACATCAGAGAACATAAAGGTAAGTTCATTCGAATCTCTTGATCTCCTTTGTGATCAGAAGGGGAGGGGGTGGGGGTGGGGGGAGAGACAAAGGTAGTAGATAAGTGGATCACATCCCCTCTGTCTCACGACTCCCGATCTTCATTTTCTTCATTGTATTGCTCCCGTCTCCAGTTCAATAGAAAGTATCAGAAACCTAGCTGATACTTTCAATCTGATACTTTCTATTGAAAGTATTAATTAGCCAGTTTTCTGATACTTTCTATTGAACTGGAGACGGGAGCAATACAATGAAGAAAATGAATACAATGAAGATAATAGCGATTCAACGATCGTTGAAACTCAGAGAAAAAATAGTTTTAGAACTGTTTTTTCTCTTAGTTTCAACGATCGTTGAATCTCTATTTCACTTGTATGGCTACAGTCTCATAAGGATCCACGAAAAATACACTGACATTGAAGGGTTCTGATAGGTTAGGTTTTACCCCTAAGAGGCCATGGTGCTTGTGGAACCCATCTTGAGGCTTAGTTACCTCAGGAAAAATTCATAGTACATGGTTACAATCTAGGATTCGTTTCTAGTATATACTATCAGTTGTTACTAGGCAGTCTGTTAGAGATGCTTACAACATCAAAGCTCAGGTTTTCACGGAACTCGATAATCTCTCCGAAATACTGTCAAAAACATGGTACAGCCAAATGCATCTCTGTTGAGAATAAGTTATGAAGGTCGATTTAAGAAGAAAAGATCTAAAAATTTAATGAGAGCTTGATATCCAACGAAACTTATTAGAACGTTTTGAAAGAAACTCATGGGACTTTATCTTTTTCCTTTAGATTTCCCGCGGAAGCCTGAGAAAGATGACCACGGAGAAGAGGATGGAGTACTAGAAGACATCGAAGAACCATTTTGTAAGTCTACAAACAAAGAGAGAAAGCCTGGGGCGATAGCGGGCGCCCATAGGCATATGGGATCCTCATAGTTGCAAAGCTATAAACCAGAAGGTGGCCAAAAGATCGCATGAATGCGCACGCGCCTCCCTAGATTCAGACTATATCACTTTTCTAGAGAAAGTAACTCGTTGTGTATTGTAATCACCAAGGACAGGATGGAGTTGCTTACTCGTCCATACTTTGGCGGGAAGTATTTAATTTAGCAACACTTTCTTTGCTTGTGGTTGGTACGGCTGTTTGTTATAATTTTTTTTTTCTAACATTTTGGTTTGGTTGAAAATAAATTTGAATTTTGTTTCTCTTCTCAGACATATCCATGGAACATTTAGCAAATTCAGGGGAATTTCCTAAGCAGAATTTCCAAATTTCAAACAAATGTAAGCGGAGCATTGAGCGAGACATTTCATAGAAATTAGAACAATCTCATTAGCTCTCATTGACCTCGTTCATGGATGATTTAGGCACAGTAGAACTTCTCAACTAGAACGAGTGGCGAAAGTCTTGGGACGCTCTACCATTTATTGAATTTTTCTTTTGTACCTTTCATTTTTCTCCCTTTTCACCATATCACTGTTGCCTGAGGTTATAAAATGGTCACTACTTTCTGACAACAGTGTTTGGTGGAGGGGCGTGGAGGACTTTTAAGTGTTAGAGATTAATTATAAGATTTCTGTTTACAGTCAAACTTGTATTAAGCAGTCACCCACGGGAATGGGGGGCTTAATACAGGTTGATCGCTTTTTACCGGCTCTAAGAAACAATGAAAAACGCTATGTTTTGCCGTAATTGAATACTTGATTTACAAAAGCACGCTCAAGAATGCTACTAACAATGATTATTGGAGACAAACATGGATTAAATTTTATTTGAAAGATTATTCTCAGTGTAAGATTCAAACGTGTGTGACCTCTCACGTACATGCGTTACTCTTGATTTAAATTTTAGCCCTTAATCTTCAGATCGTGTTACTCGTTTGATTACACTTTTAAGTTTTCGTTTTTCAATGTATAATATATCAGTGTTGGCCTTTCTTGCGACAAGCTTATGTTCTAAATCATTGGTTATTTCACTCGGCCACGTCAATAGAGAAAATATCTTTAGGTCGTTGTACTTTTCTCGTTCTTATTTTGTTTGTCAACTTTCTTAGATCTATCATAATTATAGCCGTAATTTTTAATTTTAGTCGAACCATCATTTTCATTATTTTCATCAGTTTCATCATTTTCATAGTCACTTCTACATAATCAGATGTGTTCGATTTAAAGAGGAATAAATTTTCTCTTTCAATCCATCTCTTAGCTGGAGGCTACACTCAGTTTTATTTGAGTGGTTGCGCTTCAAATAACCATTGGGTAAAGGTGGAAAACAACAAAAACAGGCCAATGAGACTAAGTAAAGGGTGACTACAACCGCAACCATTTTCTTTGTAGAAGATCCTCACACATAATTAAATCTCTCCTCAGACGAAACCAAAGAAGTCTCCGAAAACTCCAGAGTGATTCCCAATATGGATTCTCAGACTCCTGGAAAAAGTGAGTAAAATTCCTGAGCAGAAAATCTTCTTGACAATGAATAGCCTCCCATCTTAGCTTTCTCATAGATACTAGAATACTTCAGTTACTTACAGCAATGAAAGATGATCGCATGTGTAAATTTGAAAGTAGAGCACTTCTACATATTTTCTCCAAATCAGGAGTGCAAGCGTAGCATGATTTTTAGCACTCGATAGGCATGAAAGACAAGATACGAACTATGGCCGAGAGGTAAAAAATGTAAGGGTTACTTACGAGCCAGGTAGCCCATCTTACTGGCGCTTAAATCTGGTTTCCATAGCACGAAGCGACTAGGGGTATTTCTACTCCCCCCTGGATGGAATGCTAGTCCATCGCAGGGTTACCCCCCAGTATTAAATTCGCCGGTACCCAATTATTATCCTGGGTGAAGAGAGGCACTGTGAGAGTAACGTGTCTTTCCCAAGAACACAACTCAATGTCCACGGCCAAGGCTCAAACCCGGACCACTCAATCCGGAATCAAGCGCACTAACCATGAGGCCACCGCGCCTCCAACCATGGCCAAGAGGCTGCGGTTTTATTCTTTGCTTGAAACTTTCGAAGATAGAAACACATAGGCCTGGTGTTAAACGCTAACACTGGTAGTTTTGCACGTTTAACGGTTTTTGAAAGTGAACTGTTAATTTGATGATTTGAAAAACCTTTTTCCATTTATGAGACTCACTTAAGTAAAGATCAAACAAGATGCCTGATCCGTTCCCAAAATTTACGCCTCTAAATATTTCTTGCAAATATCAACTTTTGGCGTCTAATTTGAGACCAAAGATTAAAGTGATTGCTTGTTTGACAACGCAACAAAATTTATTTAACACTTTCTCTCGTCATAGGATTCATCGCTTTTGTGAAGGTCGTAGCATTGATGGGTAAACGACCACTAGATGACTCAGAAGATCAGCTGCCTAAAGGGAACCTAGTACTGAAGGTCATTCTGAATGATAACAAAGTGCATCAAGCGGAACTCAAGGGAATCAAATACCAAGATCCTAAATACGAAAAAGAGTTGAACACCGAAAGTGATTTTAATCCGCCACTCATCTGCACTGGTAAAGAAATAAGAAAAGTTAATCTCACGTCTCCACGAAACAATGGATGGTACGTTGCGTCCATCGACACCTTCACCGCGGGATCGAACAAAGTCTACACTAAGCTGACCACTGATCCAGGCTTCAGTATGTGGGTGGACGGCAATGAAGAACATCATTACCCATACCAAGCCAAAGAGCACCTCCTCACCAATGCTGTCGCAGGATCCTGTATCACCTACGTACGTGTGGAGGCAATGACAACGGGAGACATGGAAATGGAGAGAAAGAGCTACTTCCTTGACTTCATTTTATCACAAGACCAAAAAATTCGGGCAGAACTTGCAGGATATGAGCTACAAAGTCAATCCTCTGTGCTAGAGCTGAACTTCGCCAGTCGTTTTCGCCCCAAAAAGTGCGTTTCGATGTCCCACATCGAGGAAGTTCGCCTACAAGCTCCTAATCAAGGAGATGCAAATTGGTACATATCATCCATTCGCACTTCTGCTAAGACTGGCGAAGACCAGTATGTGGATTTAACAAGTGACCTACAGCTCAACAAGCGGTTTGGAAGGTACAATACAAGAGATATTAAACTAAATTGGCTCTATAATGAAACTCTCAACTGCGAATACGGAAATCCAACGTGTAAATGCAGGAAATGGAAAAAGGTATGTATTTTCAACCTTGAAATTGACGAAATTCGAACCTTCACCAGCTATCAAAAGTTATCGGATGATGAACCTACAGGAATAGCTTTGCGAGGAGCCCAGGGCGTGAGCTATTATTTCGATCGACACGGGATACCTTTGCCACTACAATCTAATAGAACATGTTCAACTTTGGACAGAGCCAAATGCACTTATCCCCAATTTGTTGATGGTAAAACGTACCGTTTGGCAATAGCCGTAAATGGACAAATTCCTGGACCTACCTTAATAGTTCATGAAGGTCAAAGGGTCATTATTCATGTTCACAACAATCTCACAACTGAGGGTATTTCAATTCACTGGCACGGGATGCATCAGAAAGGAACACCTTGGATGGATGGTGTAGGGCAAGTGACTCAATGTCAGATAGGACCCTCATCGACCTTTACATACAATTACACCGCTCGGCCTTCAGGAACGTTTTGGTACCACTCTCACAGTGGTGCTCAAAGAACAGATGGCTTCTATGGTGCACTGATAGTCAAAGAAACTGAAACAAGGTTGAAACAAATCCAATCTAAACTAAACATTACTTTTTAAGACAAACCAGATCAACACACCTTAACGCTTCTAGACTGGCAACTTGAGGCATCCTTGGACCTGTTCACACAGACCAATGCAGACTTGGGCTTATATGAAAAGAAGCCGCTTGGTGAAGTACCCACTCCAGATGATCCAAAGTATAACGGTACACGTAGTTTTGACAATGGAGGGGCTGGGCCTATGCCGTACTTTTCTGGAATCATAAATGGCAAAGGCAGACATGATGACGTTAAATACAATAAAACAAGACTTAGTATATTCACTGTTAGGTCCGGAGAGACATATCGCTTTCGGCTCATTGGAGCCCAAGGGCTTTATTCTTACACCTTCTCCATTGATGGCCATAAACTGACTGTGGTCAACACTGACGGCTACTGGACTAAACCCGTAAAAGATGTTGATTACATCATGATCCATCCAGGAGAGAGATATGACTTTTTACTCAGTGCAAATGACGAACTAAATCTTACAGACTACTGGATGCGTGCAGAGACTATGGAAATTAATCAAACTAGGAGTGGGCCACCTTACCAGTCATTAGGACATGTGGCAGAAGCTATTTTGCACTACGAACAGGATGACGACGGTTGGGATCCGGATGATAATGTACCTTCGAGTGAATATGAAAAAATCAAAAAGGAATCTCCTCGCAGAAAGTGCATCAAAAAGAAAAAATGCAGAGCGGTGAACTGCCCTTTTAAGAACTTTCATGATTCATATAACATTAGTTGTACTAATGTACACGACCTGCGTTTACTCGAACCCACTCCACCTGAGGAGCTTCGAGATGCAAACCCCACCAAAGGATGCACAAATTGCAGACATTTCGTCAACTTTCATTTTGAAGGTCAATCTGATACTAGTTCAGTGAATGGGCGCAATTTTATTCTTCCCTCCTTTCCACCTCAGACCCAGTATGACAATTTTACAACATATGACACGATATGCGACCTTAGGGCTGACTGCAATCCATCAACACTCGAGTGCTCATGTGTCCATGTGATCGACATCCCCTATAACAAAACTGTTCAAATGGTATTCTCATCAATTGGAGCTACCCCCAGTGCTCATCCAATTCACCTCCACGGCCATACATTTCATGTTGTTGCCGTTGGATATCCAGAATATAACGGCACCACTGGTTTTGTTCAAAAACCCAACAGTGATATATACTGCGATGATATCAAATGTACTAAAGAAGGGTGTGTGAAAAGCGCTTGTACCAGACCAAGGTGGAAGACAGACCCAATGTGTTTTCCCATCGATCCCCACACGATCAGAAAGGACACAGTTATGGTCCCCGCCGGGGGCTACGTTGTCATCAATTTCCTTTCTGATAATCCGGGCCAGTGGTTTCTTCACTGCCACAAAGAGTTGCACCAACTTGAGGGAATGGCACTGATTGTCAATGAGGCTTTGGGGGAGCAACGGAAATTGCACCCACCCGATGGCATGAACAAGTGTGGAGACTTTATACTACCTTAAAAAGGTCTTGATATTCTCAGAAGCTCTAAGTCTCAACAAAACTACTACTTGAAAACAATTCTGCAACGATGCGTGTGCTAAGATCCAGAATTAAGTATTTGAGCTCGCTTTTCAGTTACTTGACCTTTTTGACGCGTTCTGAGGATTTTATATTAGAGTGAGTCAAATCAAATACTCGGTAAGAAGAGGATAGTTGTTTTGTTTTTCTTTTTTACCATATGCCCCATTCGGCGCCACTTGTGCAATCTCAAAGCAGTCGTATTTAGCTCCGACGAAGGGCTAACACTCGAAACGTCAGCTTTTGTAGTCGTTACGGTGGCCAATTTACCATTTAAACTTTGTTGATATATCCAAAGTATTTAGGGCCGGACGGATTGACGTGGGTCGGTTTGGTAGAAGCCGTCCAGCTCGAGTGTATTCGTACGGCCACATTGTTCGCAGTTGTTGCAAAAAAACGACTGAAAGCAATGAACAAAAAAAGAGAAAATAAGTCATCTTTTTCAACGAGTTGTGAGTCTCTTGTTGTGACTCGAAAAAATAATGAAAAGGTTTTTACCGCAGGATTTTTTTTTTTTACTTTTCCCGTGCATACCCGTCTATCGCGTTCTATTTTAAGTTAAAACAAACTTTTCAAATTTTGTTCATAACGCACGATCCTCGCTACACTAGGTCCGTACGTCATTAATTAGAGTCTTCCCTCTCAGTCAGTAAGTTCATGGCATCTTTACGCTTTGCTAAATTGCTTCATCGCCTTTTTAATCACCAACTCGGTTATTCGGTGCATTTTTTAGATTCAAAACTAAGCATCTTAGGCAAGTGTCAAACTAGTGTGGGACAGACTAGACTAGTGTGCGACGTTATTCTTCAGAAGTTTTTTTTGTATATATGAACCTAGCTGAGTTATTTTATCATATCTTATGAGTATTTAATCACTTACCTGATTTCTTGTGGATCGTAAAAGATCCAAAGTTAAGTACCTTGAACTAGAGTGAGGGAACTGATTTGAGTAACCAGTAACCCATAAGTAGATTTTGTTCGCAACTGTAAGCTTTCCTTTGGTGTTTCATCCTCTCTTTGGAATGACAATTACTATTACAGCAGGTTCGTAAGCTGTTATGCTTTTGTTAAACAACACCGTCTGGATGAAAGAAAATTTCAGTTAGAAACGATAGACTCGGAGACACTCTGACGCTTAATCGGTTAACAAGTTTTTATATCAATCTCTTTCAGTTCTTAACGATAGTTTACCTTTTTAGAGAGTCATATGCAAGGTGTGACGAACTAGGGAAATAATGTAATAAATTTGTTTGATTGATTAATTTGACTTAATCATTTTTGTCTGTTTGGGGCGATGCAAGAAACGGAAGCTCACACTTATAGCCGCACCCTCCCCCCCCCCCCCTTATCATTATTCGGGGGTCATATGGAATATGTAATTGACAAGATTAAAAGATACTACTATAAATTTGTTGCTTAATGGATTGATTTCAATGTTTAACCACTGCAGGTCTACAGAGAGATCTCCAACATAGCTAGAGACACAAATATTCTTCAGTCCGACTTATTTAACCTTAAGAATTACTCTGAGGTCTGGCAGTTAAACTTCAAAGTGAACAAATGTGAGATTATGCCAGTAACACATAATTGTGATAAATCTGTCCCACATTACCCTCTCGTCCCGCGCGGAGAATGTCTAAGCTCAGTGAGTTCTGTAAAAGACCTTGGCATTACAATCTCGCGCGACCTCTCGTGGACTACACACGTTGTCGAGGTTGTCAATAAGGCCAATAAAGTTCTTGGTCTAATCAAGCGAACAATCGGTCCTGTAAACAAGGAAATCTTTTCCACATTGTACAAGACTCTCGTGAGATGCTTCCCCAGTATGGTGTCTTTACCTAATTAAAAATATTGTTATCTTAGAGAAAGTTTAGAGAAGAGCCTCGCGATTGGCTTCAATTTACATTGATTGAAGGTGACTGATAGAAGACTATATTTTTCCTTGGTAGAATGCTATAAACTCGTATTCGGGCTGAATGGCCTTCATTTTTGTGATTTTTTGGAGTTTTCTTCAAAACGTACTAGGTCCAACCTCAATTACAAACTGCAGGTGAAAGTGGCAAACTGTAATTGTTATAAATACCCTTTTTATGTTAAAATAAATGGTGAATGGAATGACCTGCCCGCCAATGTCTTTGAGATAGGTAACTTGACACGTTTTAAATCAGCTCTTAAATTATACCTGGGTGTTTCTTAGGTTTTTATCCATCTTATATTTTATTATAAGCATACATTCTAAATTTTATTTCTTTGGAAGTTTATTTACATAGGGCTAACCTCTTAAACTTCCTTTTTAGGGTATTATTTGTGTTGTTTATTTCTTTGGTACCTCATATATTTGTTGCACTCTTCTTCTTTTTGGAACGATGGAGGAAAGGCAAACTCACTCAACACCCCACCTGTTCTTACCACCGAATAAAGGATGAAAACTAGATTTAAATTAACAAATGGTAAACACCACAGCGTACACTATTGAGTTATGGCTTCAAGCGGGAGGTTGCTAAGCACGAAAGAAGCGTAAGAGTCGCTCGAGGCGATAGCCGAGAGTGACTCTAGCTTCTTAAGTTCTTAGCAAACCTCCAAAGTGCATCCATATTTCAATACTGTACGCTGTGGTGTTTACCATTTGTTTTATAACATAACTATGATACATTGTAGCTAAAGAGTTCCCTTTTACTTAAAAAATCTTAAGTGACCAGAAAAAACAAGCGCGCGCGGAAAAATATTCTTTGCATTTGCTCACGTCAGCAGCGTACACCCATGGGCAAACGGGGGACGCTAAATTGACCAATCAGAGCGCGCGCTTTACTTTGATTACGTTATAAACAAATTTAAGGCATGCCAGTGCAAATGAAACCAAAGCCTCGTGTCCTCCTTAAGGACAATTGGAAAACTTGTTTTCAAAATCCTAATTTTTTTATTTCTTCTATTCTCTATGAGTTCTCAAATGATCTCATGCACATAAGCACTCTGGAAATACTCCTCTCTCTCAATGGAGAAGTAAATCATCTCCATTTCTTCCCTTTGCCACCATAACTCATCAACCTTAAAGTGCCGCTGAGATCAAAATTTTCGTACATACTTTTTTTCATTTTCGTGATCAGTGTGTCTCCTTCGCCTACTCTTCCGAATTTCAGTCTAGACCGAGCACCAGAAATATCCTTTTTCAGGCCGTTAAATTCGCGATTTAGCATCCGCCATTCACTGACCACGTTCCGGAAGTTGATCGTAGGACTCAGAGGAAGTGATGTCAAAGGCTCAACGCGAAAATCTCACATGGCAAAATGTCAAGCAAACATAACAGAGTGCTTTACTCTATTTTTACAAAGACTCAACAGAAATTACTTGGCATAGATGCGTAATTCAAAGCTGAAGTAGTCTTGCAGACCACGCTGCAGGTATTTCTCTGCATCGGAGCCTCGCAAATAGATCAGAGCGGGAAAAACGGAGGCGATTTGTGCGAACTCGCCGAGTAAACCTCAGTCCTGCAGAAATATTTGTGATCTGCCTCGAACACTTCTCGGAGGACTGTTTCAAGAGATTTGTGTACTTTGAAGGATCTAGGCGAAGAATTCTGTCGGGTTCAGTGCCTACCGTTCAAAGGAAGGGACAAAAAAAACCGTCCTCAGTGCGATCTTGACGAAAGGGAAGTCTACGAACCTCCACGGTAGTGTCACCTTTACATATACGCTGATCAATATCCGCCTTTAACAACTCTCTGGCAGAATACCTTACACAAAGGAAAGTACTCGGTGACCACTTTAAATAAGAATGATAAAATAGCCGAATTGAGGAATGAGATTTCTGACCTCAAAGAGTTCACTTTTATACAAAAGAGATGAAAAATATCATTGTGTGCTCTGACTCTAAAAAATATCTGGATTTAATATCAGCTAAATTAGAACACACGGTCTCAGACACAGAGCGTAGAAACACTTTAAAATGTAGCCATGTAGCCAAAAAACCGAGAAAATGAAAATTTCTTAAAAAACCTCTCAAACTATCAACCAACTGACAGCCAAGGCAGCGTGCAATCAAAGGGTCTAAAATTCATCCCAACACCTGTAACAAACGAATGTAAAATCAGGCCAACTTTTGCGAGATTTATTCGCAAGACGAATGCGCCTCCGTTACACCTTTCACGGACAAAACAAAGTACCACTTCCGTTTCATATCAAACTGAATGCCACCGGTTCAGTCTTCTATCGCCCTTCAGAGCTACTTGGAAAATTGTCATAACACAACTTGCAGACTATATCTAAGCCAAAAAATACTTTGTAACGCAATGAGGTCACTGTTCAAAAAGAGTTGAAACAAACTGTGCTTTAAAGTCACCGAAGCAACACAACAATCGTCATCATGAATAAGACAGAAAAAACACAAGACGCTAAAGTGCAACTCAACAACTGACTTCACTTCAAACCTCTCAAAGCACCGATAGTAAAAAACACGCAGGAAAGAGTTAATGAGATCATTGACCAAATGTATCGGGGCAAACACATTGATGGCTTGGAAATGGCTTTCACAAACTCCCAATATCCGCCTTGAAACACAATCAACCATTGTCGAAAACAATTTTTATATATATCACCCGATCATTTCTTACAAAGGAAAATTCCTTATGACAAGCAAAACAAGCTTTGAGGGCGATAAAGCGATGTTACCACAAAAGCCACATGGGATCCGTGCCGTTCTGTTTTTATCTTTATTCGCATGGCAAAAATTCATCGCTTGCCGGCGCAAAACTATCCACAGAAGCTTCAGATGATTTCTGGGACAATTCATCGCCAGACAAAGTCGACATTTCACGACTGACAACGAAACAGTACTCTTCCTGACCCTTTGACGTCATGATGACGTTTTCTGCTGTACAATTGCAAGCTCGGCTGGAACATATTTTCAGCAATGACGGACGATTTTTTGACGACTTAGAAGCAGTAAAAATTGGTCATCGATGGTTTGTTTTGAGTTTTTAATGGCAAAAAGGATTTTAAGTTGACCCAATTCAACATTCTGTAAACAAATTAGCCCAAAATAAAATGGTCAATTTTGGTCTCAGGGGCACTTTAACGTTGTCACAAAAGACGAAAAGAATCAAAGCTATTTAACCATCACGTTCCCGTGCAGATAATAGAGAGATTTAGCACCGCGTTTACATTAAAAGGCAAACATCAGCTTGCCCTTTCACGTCTCAGGTAAAATAGCATGAAGCTTGCTGCTTTAGCCTCGCGTGAGCTCACGTCCTAATGATTTGAAGGCGCCCTTGTAGAGCTTACAAGGAATACTTTTGGTGACCTTTTCTATGGCCATTAACTTCTTCTCTGTGAGAGAAATAGGAAAGAAAATCTTCCGTACACGGCAAAAGCGAAACAGGTTACCTTCATTTGTAAACAGCAAAGCGCGACCGGCAAACGTGAGAAAACGGCAGGAAAACTAGGTCACGTGGGCACTCTCGCAGTTCATATTTCACGCTAACGCGGTGCTAAATCTCTCTAATAAGATTGTCTGTCCGAAGTCTACCGATGGATTCCCCGATAATTTTGTTTGTCTGTTTGTCTGTTTTTCATGTTATTTCAAACGGGACAGAAAATACATTCAAGTTGGGCCCGATACTATGTTCGGGATGATAGAAACAATTTAATTTCTTCATAAATTTTAATTAACTCGGTCGTTTTCAGCCTGGTTCTAATTACGATAAATATCTTAACGTGTTTCTTAGGTCTATGTTAAACGTTACGGAACCTCCCTTTCCAGCTGGGATTTATGGTCCAAACACGACGCGCAGGCCATAAATCCGAGCGAAAAAAAAATCGGTCTGTAACTTACAGTGCGGGCCAAGAAAACAAGGTTAATAAGGGGTATGAAATTCTGAAGTGAGGAGAGGTTAATTGTAGGAACTATAACTAGGGACTGCTGCATTGACTTCCTACATCACGAGATGCATAGAAAATAAATAAATCTACATAGCGTCCAACCTCAATCTATAAACAATTTCTTACAGTTAACAACTCCAAGATTGATTCTACATTTAGTTTATTCCGTGACAAGACGCCACAAACATGGGAACGAGATCAAATCATGGGTTACGGCCTCGTTTCTGCGATGGGGGAAGTACATTTCTCGCCGGATTCTGGAGGGGATTCAACCATATTCAAGTTACCGTCACTTGTCGGTGCGATTTACTTGGATAAAATACCAAAGTGGAGCAAGCTCATTGTTGGGAAAACTGTGCTGGTCGAGCTACTACCGCCGGGGAAATTTT